TTTTTTTTTTTTTTTTTTTTTTTTTTTTAATCGGGCCCAGTGCCCCAGGCTGATATTAGTAATGGAAGATATTGAGGCCGGGGTCCTCACAGTCTACCCGGAGTAACAAAACCGAGATTCTCAAGGCCGTCGCCCTTTTCCTTTGCTAAATCAAACATGCACAAATATTGTATCATGGAGAACACATGTTTTGCAAGTACGACGTTATCGGTTCAAGTCCGATCGGCTCCAAACAACTTCCCCCCTGAGTCCACGTAGCTCAGGTGGAAAAGAAAAGATCCGCAAGCACGTATGAATGCAGCTACTGTCATGATTGCTTATGAAGTTACGACGAAATAGCGCCTACCGTTTCTCATTCGATTGACCCTGCAAAGGCACCCCAACTCAGTGTCCTACAGGATTTGAAGTTTGAGCGAGTAACCGATTTTGATCGGGGCAAGCCTCGCGTGATTCGGCGTGAATGTGTGTCCCTTGGGAAAGAGGTTGGGACCCTTCTTCTTTTTTAGGGACCAACAGATAGTGCATACAGTGGATACGGCGGATTAGGGTTATGGCGAATTAGGATTACGGGCTTCGTGACAGTTCATGTGTGATTGGTAAATTGCATTTTTAACCGAATCACACACACACACACACACACACACACACACACAGGCCATATGTGCACGCATGGTCACGGGTTCAAATCCTGCACAGGCCTCGCCACCCCATCTTGAGTGACAATTGTAACCGAATCTCACACACACACACACACACACACACACACACACACACAGAGGCCATATGTGCACGTATGGTCACGGGTTCAAATCCTGCACAGGCCTCGTCACACCATCTTGAGTGACAATTGTTTCCAAAGACGTATGCAAGCAAAGGACGGGAAGTACGTGATACCTGGGATTCCACACTAGCTACCTGCAGCCTTTATTCTCACGCCATCGAAAAGAGCAAGCAAATGGCACATCCACAGCATCCATGCTTTCTGGATTGACTGCGGGCCTTGCTCCACAACTAAACGTTCTACATTTGCATTTGGACGCCTTCCTGGACCAGGTGCATTCATTTTGAGTGCATCGGGACGATCATAAACTCCAGATACAGATGCATGTAGAGTGATGTGTAGTGGAGGGAGGTCCGATGTCTACATGTACTAAAGATTTAAATGCGGGCGGCTGAACGAATGGAAGCGAATGGCACTGGGGATCCCAGGGCAACTACCTGCAGCCACTATACTAGTCCCACTTGCAGCTGCTCGGTACTATACACTTCCCACTTGCAGCAAAAGTGGTATTTCCTAAGGGCCCTACCATCCATTCTTAATTTCTGATCTTTTTGTTTCAAACCTTTTTTCTTTCTTCATCTGATTTAAGCACGATTTGAACGCATGCTCTGTTCACTACTCGGTAGAAATCACACGAGTGTACCGTTGAGCCGCAAGGTGGTGGACGCGTTCTCGCAGCTCTTCGATAGTTTGATGCCAGCGCTACATTTTGTCTCAATAAGTGAAAAATTGCCTACGAAAGAAAAAAAATCTGAATTGCAGAGATTAAGTTTGACGAACCAACGGGCCTAGCTCAGTTGGTATGCCCATGAACTCGACAAAAGAAATCAAATATTTTAAATGCACCCCTCAGTTCAACTCCAGATGGAACGCAACAAAAGAAATCGAAATATTTTATTATTTTAAATTATACTTCTGAATTGAACCACCAGTTCGCCAGACGCAGAGTGCTCCTCTTGCCAGTTTACACCGCAAGAGCATTTCGATTCCGGCCTGGGGTGGTAGCAAAAGCCGCAGGCCGCTTTGGGAAAAAGGCCCAGTTGCAGGCTCACGACTCGTTGGATGGTGGCTTCGTCAACTCGGGCTCGTGTGATTGGGGCGTTCAGATTGCGACACTTTCCTACAGTTCGTACCTACACGTATGTACCTACTCACGATCTCCACATGCACCCAAAAAAAAAAAAAAAAAAAAAAGGTATGTACCTACTCACAATCTCCTTCCATATCCTTCCTTACACATCACCCGCCAATTCGGAAATCAATTGGCCGCACTACAAACGCATTTTCAACTCGCAAAACACAAAACATCGGCGTGCACGGACTCCTCAAATGAAACTTTCCGCATGTCAGATATGTTGAATATTATTATATTACTCAACTCATGCCGCATATCGGAACCGGGCCAGCAATGGCCAAGCACGGCGAGCAGCACACGACACCCGGCCCCAGCACTACAAAGGGGAAAAAAAAAGAATGCACACCCACATAGAAACAACCTGAAAAGTGCATGCAACACATAAAGCAAAGGGGATTGGAAAAGAAACATGATGACCCACAGAGATAGATTGAAAACTGCGGCAGCTGATGCGTGCTGTTTGGATGGGAAAATGAGTGCTGCTCACCGTTCCTTCGCTCTCCTCCTGCGCACCGACAACAAGGATGAAGTTGAACTGCGCCAATTGTGCCTCGCGGATCTATACAGCAAACAACAACGAACGAGGGGAGCTAAGTTACGATTACAAAAAAAGAAATGAAAAAAAAAAACTTACAAGTAACCATGGTCCATGACCGCAAATCATCCCATTATCTTTCTTCTACTTCCTCCCAGCTATCTTTTTTTTTTTTTTTTTTTCGTTTAAGCATACCCAGTGACGATCAGCTGCTGTGGGGATGATAAGAGCACCTCCATGGCCGGAGTCAGGCTGTTAATGGCGCCCGTCTCTTCTTCTTTCTTTTTCTTTTTTTTTTCTTTTTCTTTTTCATTTTAGTGATGGGTCATGGAGTCATGCATCAGATATTAAACTGATCATCAGAACAGATACTACACCTTTGTCCAGTGTGATATCTGTGTTCAACTTTTGGGAACGATCCCTGAATGAAAAAGTACCCCCAAAAAACAAAGACAACTATGTTCTCCGAAAACAGAAAAGGGAAAGAAAAAAAAAAAAAAACACGGACAAGCTCCCTTAAGAAGGAGACATTTCCACATATGCCATCTGCGAAGGAAAAAAAGCAAGGCGAATCGGTTGCGATCGCCGGCACATTCTTTCCGCTTTTCTCTCGAGGAATTCGGTATAGTATCCCTTACCTTCTTCTGTAGCTTGTGATCAGAGCTGTCCACCTCCACATAAAACCCGGCATCGTGCACTGCAGCTCTCACCTGCCACACCACAGGCAGGGCGCAAGGAACCTTAGCATCTCTCCTTTTCTTTTTTTTCTTTTTTTTCTTTTTCTTTGCTTTCCTCCTCTCGATTTATGCGTGTCATCCTTGCGCAGGGGTGAAGTCCCACCGCCCAAGTTCAAGTTTAGAAAACGTAACGTGTGACACCATTTTGACATTAATAAATTCGAAACAAGAAATTAAAAAACTGAAAAAAATCGCTAGAAAGTTAGAAACATCTTTTCTCCTTATTTTAACTCGGAGAAATGAAACACGTCTGGCACAGTCGGAGTGAATGTCTCCGTGGAAAAGGGATACTTCCCGTGGTGAGGGGACAGGAGGTCACCATTCGTAAAATGGACAGGGACAACATGGATGGCCAGATGCGTTCGTTGCCCAAAGAACGAAGAGAGTTTGATACGAGAGAGCCAAACAGAGCTGTCAGAGCTCCTCCGTTTCAGGGTGTAATGATGTCTTAAAAAAAAAAAAAACGAAAGGCAAATAAGTTGAGAAATGTACCCTACCCTCTGTAGAGTAGTTTTCTCAACGCAAAATGGTTTCCGGCCAAAACGGAAAGGGCCAAAGCATACGACAAAACGAATTTCACGTCAACGAAAAAATGTACAAAACCACCAAATCTAATGGGTTATTCTCCTGTATTTCGGTACCCTTAGATTCTCAATACATCAACGGCAGAGCTCCGTCCCACCATGCCACCCGTGATAGAAAGCTCAGCGTTGAGAAAACTCAACTTCGGCCGTGGGACTTCACCCCAGGGGGCATATGCCAATCTTCTCTGTATTGCACCATTTTTAAGTTTTAACAGAAGTTATTTTGGACCTTTTTTTTTTTTCACCATTTATGAGTGTGTCATTCTCGCGCAGGGCCCATGCTAATCTTCTCTGTATCGTTCCTATTTTAACGGATGCAACGCTCATTCCGACGTCTGACCTGACAGACCCATCCAGCTCAATGCGCATTCCGACGTCCGACCTGACAGACCCATCCAGCTCAATGCGAAAGAGATGCGACTTCCCAGGTGGCAGACTGGCACCAGATTTGGTACCCCCGAATTTGGCGACCTTCCTTTTCAGTCAAAACAGTTGCGGTGACCACAAGCCATGAACAGGGATCCCCACTTTTCACTTCTCTCCACTGACAAGTTTTTGGTTAAAATGGCCCCTTGGATTTTGTTACAAATGGCATGACAAGGTGTCTGAACTTTTGGGCCTCCGTCAACCTTCTCTCGTCGTGACCCCACACAATGGCACACAGGCTAATGCAAAGATGGTAAATCATGCCCCTGCCGAGAGACATCCTCACAATATCGGCAACGGGAAGACAGCATATTGTTCCACCAAAAAAAAAAAAAAAAAAGGTGGGATCTCCCAAACACATGGTAACATCATAAATCATAACGACTTCAAATGTACTCCGGACTCGCGAGTCTTTTTCTTTTTTTTTTTCTTCCTTTCTAGCGGTCACATATAGAGTCGAAGAGAGTTGTGCCCGGTAAACCGTAGGCAGAGAGGGAGAAGAGGACAACAAACGAGGGAGGGGCTGTGGCAAAATATACACATCATTCAGCGACATGGGCGTTTTCTCTTTCCATTTTTTTTTTTCCCAACTGGTCATCAATCGTTCTCAGTTTCTATACTCTACAAACATACTGGGTGGGTGACCCAGAAGGCGCAAGGACGAAAAACCCCACACGAATCTAGTTTGTGATCTCTTTGTCGTGGCACACCAGGGGTTCCCCCAGGGTCCCGCACGGGTGGGCCCCGCCAGCCAAGCCTATGCAGATGGCACAACAGTCCGAGAGCAAAACTTTTAAAAATGGAAACAACATTGGTAGAATTACTGAGTTACCCGCCGGGCTGCCCAGGGGTTGCCTCAGATTGGTCCAGGTGCCCAGCCGGGGTCATGTCCAGGCACAAAGTCCCGCCAGTCAAGGTCCAGGGTAGTCCGAGAGCAAAAAATAAAAAAAACAAGGCTAGCAGCCGGGCCGCCCGGGTCCCGGGTGGCCAGCCCGTGCAAGGAAAAAAAAAAAAAAAAAAAAAAAAAAAAAAAAAAAAAAAAAATCCAAAAAGAAAATTGTGACCCCGGACCACTGGTAGCCTAGAAAAAAAAAGGAAAAAACTTCAAAAAATAAGTTTACGATAATTCATTAATTATTCTGCTAAGATTTAAAGGAAGGAAATTGTGCGATGCAAACAACTTTTGGCAGAGGGCCATCCTCAAATTCTTCCCTGATTTCAAGAGAAATTTACTAATTTTTGTTCCTCTTCCTTAGGCAGCAGATTTTTATCACTCCTCACACCTGAAAATCAGACAGCGAGCCTCGTTCCACTACTCACCTTGTGCAAAAGGAGAATGAATCTTCCATTAGAGCTTGGAAGAAACACCGTCATAATTTGTATTTTTGTGCATGTGGTGACTAGTGGAGCAAGAATCAGTATCAAGGAAATCCACGTCTTCTCTGTGCATAATTGATGGACACAGCAAAAGAATAAAAATTGCTGACGAGCAGGAGCACGACTTATTTCATGCGTGGAGCATGCATGACAGACACCTGGAATGTCAAACTCATTTCGGGGACCATAGCTTGTTGTGAAAGGAGATCACTGGATTTAGCCGGACCTTGGAAGATCTCCGGCCGAGTCTCCGAGATGCACTTGACCGGGAAAGGGGCAGTGGATGAGGTCTTTGCCTCACAGCAAACAGTACTCGCCTGACAAAAAGTACTACCCATGGTAACCAGCCGGACGTCTGGACCGGAATCGAGATGGTCCGGTTGTCTGGGTTTGGGTCCGGCGTCCGGTCCGGTTGTCTGGATTGAGCCCACTTTTGAAAAAGTGAATTATTTTTTGGGGGGGCCTTGGACGTTTTCCGGGTCCTATGCCGCCCCCAAAAAATGTCCCCCGGTATTTTTTTGCCATTTCAGGGCCTACCGGACGCCGCCAGATGCCCAACAGCTCCCTCTGCTGTTGTACTACGGTGGTAGTTCATCGGAAGAGGATGAGTCCGATTCGGGAGATGAAGCGCCACAGAACATCAAAGAGAGAGAGAGAGAGGACTTTGGTCAGATCTGAGTTTCACATCTTGGATCTGGTCCTGGCCGGATCTCAGATCTGTTGTTACGCAGATCTGAATAACTGAACACTGTTAACAGTTAAATTTCAATTTTCATATGAATAAGAATTAGAAAGTCTAACTTCAAACTTCGAAGTTCAAAGTCCACAGTTCTGTTTCTTTCTGATTTTCATACTCTTTTCTGAAGTGTCTTGAGACTCGTCTGTTGAGAACTGGTTTCAACTTTCTAGTGCTGTGAACTTTCTAGTGTTGAGTGAGCCTTTGTGAATGTCTGTGACAGTACAAAGCCTTCGTCAAGTTGTGAATAGTGAAAGACGGAAGTACTAAGTTTGGTCCCCTTACTTGCAACTGCCATTGATTGTGTTCATTAAACTGACTTCATTTGTGTTTAGTACTGTTTACGAAATTAAATTATTATTAATGTTTTTTTTTTTTTTCCCCCAGTGCAGATATTTTTTGTGTCTGGTGTACCGGTCCAGACAGTCCGGGTCATGTCCTGTCCGGTTGTCCGGTGCCTGTCCAGATTACCGGACGTCTGGACCAGTCCAGACAAATGTCTGGGCCTCAGTCTACTTACTCCGGGTTCTACGCCGACTTACTCGCAAACTACGCCGACTTGCTCGCGAACACTCCGACGGCGGAGTTGGGTTAGTGTAAGGTGTGGGTGAGGCTCGACGAGCCTAGGCTATGGTGGTTAGTGAGGTGGTCTTCCCCCTGAAGAGACCTCGTGGCGGCGGTTGAAACCGGTCGGGGTGCCATCACCCGCCGGCTTCATGCAATCATCGTACATATTCTGTACTTCTGTGTGCACTTGCGTACTTGAGTACGTGTGATTTTTGTACATGTATACTCATACTTTCTACTTTCAAACCTCGGTCCAGACATGTCTGGGTGCGGCTCAGCGGTTGCCATGGTACTACCTCACATTCCTTTACCCGTTCAGCTGCATCTCCTAGACATAGGACCCTGTTTTTTTTTAAAGGAATCAGTGGGTCCAAAACTCTTCAAATTGTGTTGTTTTCGTGGGTCCCAATTCTGGAAATTGTGTTTTTGGGTCCGAAATTCTTTAAATTGTTGGGATACAAAAACTCTCATCAGAAAGTACTATTTGGGGCGTAGTCAGGGAGCCAATTATCTCTATCTACATATATCTACATCTACACTACATCCACTCTACATACTACTAAAGGAAAAGCCGGGTCTCGCGTGACCCCCTGCAGGACCCGGCTGCCAGTCTTGGGAAAATGCTGGGGAGGACCCGGCTGCCAGTCTTGGGAAAATGCTGGGGACAGGGGGCCCGGGCCCAAGTGAAACTGCATGTGAGTTCGGCACGGAGTCGCGTGATGGAGTACAAGTACGTAGTGCAGAGCCTTTCGTCAGGTTACTTATTTTTCAGCTGTGTAGTGCACCGAACATGTTCGGAGCTTTTTTCCGAACGTCCGAACATGTTCGGGTGTTCGGCGGAATGCCTGCCTAACGTGTTAGGTCGAACATATTCAAAAAAAAAAAATAATAAAAAAAATTTCAAGGCTTTTGTCACTTTTTGATTTTTAACTCGAGTTTGGTTACGAATCTGAGCATACCATCCAGGCAAAAGTTGTTTATATTATTATTTTACATAACATACTAGGCTACCAGAGTGGCCCGGGGTCACTTGCCCGGCCGGGCCAAAAAAAAAAAAAAAAACATAAATAAAAATAATATTTTTACACTTTTATTTTTATTTTAAAATTGGTAAAGAATTTCGATGTGACCCTGAGGCAAAAGTTGTTCAGTTTATTTTTCTGCATAACATAGTTTTTTTTCGGATTTTCTGGTTTTTTTTTTTTTTTTTTTTTTTTTTTTTTGGGGGTCCTTGCCCGGGCTGGCCCCCCGGGACCCGGGGGGCCCGGCTGGTAGCCTAGATA